CGTAATCGCGTGTCGAAGGCGGCAGCGGCATTCGGGAAGCTTGAGTACCGAGTGTGGAACAACCATCAGCTTAGCATTGGCACGAAGCTGATGGTGTACAAATCCATGGTACTGTCCGTTCTTCTATACGGCAGTGAAACGTGGACGATGTACCGTCGGGATGTGCGATATCTCGAGCGGTTCCATCAGCAGTGTCTGCGACGAATTTTGCGGATCGGCTGGGGCGCCAGAGTTGCAGACACGGAAGTGTTGCGCCGAAGTGGGATGTATGCAGTGGACTGCATACTTTTACTGCGACACCTGAGATGGCTCGGTCATGTGAGCCGTATGGATTCGACGCGAATACCGAAACAACTTTTATACGGTCAGCTGAGTATAGGGAAGCGGCATGCTGGGAAACCAAAGTTACGTTACCAGGACATGATTAAAGTGAGCCTCACACGTTCTAATCTTGATTGCAGATCATGGGAATCGAAGGCGGTTGATCATGGTGCATGGCGCGATCTAATCACGAAGGCAGTTGCTGAAGTGCGAGAGAAAGCCCTCATGCATGCAGAGAAGAAGCGGCAAGCACCGATGAATTGTACTCCATCGACATCGAGCGCATTGTGCTGTAGAACATGCGGTCGCGAGTGCCTTAGTCAAGCAGGCCTAGTGAGCCATGAGAGAGGTCACTCGGGACCACTGCCGAAGCGACGACGGGTCCCGCAGTGAACGTACGCAGCACCGGCGCAGCGTTTGTAGGCACGCTGAATTCGATTTACTAACCGCGTGCTTGCATGCTAAGTCTCTTTATTTCAGGTGGTGGGTTGTCGGTTCTCTCCTAATGCCTTTCTTTCTCATATAAATGTCTATTGGGCCATGAGCTGTGCCATTTGGGGCCACTACAGAAGCGACGACGGGTCCTGCAGAGAATTACGACGAGCTGGCGCAGCGTTTGTAGGCACGCTGAATTCGATTTACCAACCGCGTGCTTGCATGCTAAGTCTCTTTATTTCAGGTGGTGGGTTTACAGTTTTTACCTTAATGCTTTTCTTTCTCATATAAATATCTCCCTGTACTCTATTCCATTAACTTGCGCACATCGCTTCATTCGTATTCGTATTCGATTTCCATAGCATGTTTGTGTTTGTGGCATTCCGTGAACTATACTTCCTGACCTCGTGCACTTAGCTAGGATTTGTTTGTAAACAACTTATTACTATGCTATTCAATTAAGGTTTATGTCACCGTTTCCTTATGCATTAATCGAGTTTTTCTGTTTTTCTTTCTCTCTCTCAAGTGTTTGGCTGTTGTTTGATATCCTTGGTGTGGCTGCGCTTGATGTGCATGTTGACAAGGTGCCTACCTGTCTATTACCCACTACCTCGTCCATACTGGCTCCAGGAGACAGTTGGTCGTTGCTGGAGGGGACAGGGTGCACGGTCCTTGTGGCCGTGCTATGCTCGAAGAGTGGTTCCATGCACTCAGTGTGGAGCGGACTACGGTCCAGCCACCGCATTGTGTGCGGTTGATTCCCAAATACAGTGTGCTTGTGTTTGCCTGTGAAGGAGTGTGGGCCGGCTCCGTTGATGGAACGTGGTTCCCATCCGCATGCCTCCCGGTCTTATTCCTTCGGGTTTACACTGGATATGGGGTGTGTGGTTGGAGCTGTGGGTGGTGCAGCGCAAGCCATCCATGGTCCCTCTGTAGGCGCAGGCGTCCTGTGGCTTGCCATAGTGACAGGCAAATCCGAAACCGGATGCCGCCAACCATTTCTTTTATGTATTGCGGTACAATAGCGGAGGTGTTTTACCATCTCTAGCTGACATGTATAATGATGATGATAGACCACAGCCACTAGCAGCTCGCAGTATCTTAAGTGAAGCGAACACCAGAACTGCTCATATAGACCATCAGCGCTTCGGTAGGTGCTCACGAGTCTTCCACAAAAGGAAGACTTTATGTATAGCAGTAGGCCACCGCGACCGCGATCTATCATAGCTGAAGCATGAGTAGACGCTGATTTCTACTTCTTGGGCGGTTGCATCGGAGATTAACCATGTCTCAGCAAAGCCTAACACGTCTGGTCGTTGAGAGGTTAAAAAGTTGCTCGACACATCACGTTTGTTCAGCAAACTGCAAATGTTAGTAAGTGCTATCGGCAAAATCTGACAGCGTTTCCAATCAGGTGTGATCGATGTCCTCGGGTCTCGGGAACTGTCGGTCCGTAGCCTTAAGGATAATATGCCTGCTTTGTAATTTGAGGGCGAGGGTTCGAGCCTGCGTAGGGGACCGGGCGACCCACGCAATATCCTTGGCCCACACGCGACTGGTGGTGGTTGCGCGGCAGTGAAGCGTCGGTACTGCGGACCGGCGTACTGCCGATGCTGCTATTGATGCCACTGCGGCCAATTTTGACACCAGCGAACGGATTCAGTGACCAGACGCGATAACATACGGCCGCAATGCATGCATGCATTTGGCGCACAGTTCTCACCAGATATAGAGGCGAGTGCGATGGGGAGGCATAACTCGCTGGTGGATCTGGTACGAGACTCGAAGGTCGGAGGACATAATTGCAAGAAGATTTATTTCAGCTGTCATGGCACAATGTCTTTCGAGTCAATGAGTTGAAAATTCACGGTACAGGAATAGCAGAAGGACAGATAACATTGTTAGCCGAGTTCTGCGCTCAACTAGAAGATGATGTTTGGTAGGCGCCACCGATCCATGGCTTTTCACTTAAAGGGCAGTCCACCTAGGTGGTGAATGTACAAGCCAGTAGAGTCTACCCATGGCTAGTGGTACGCTGTTTAAGCAGACCTAGAGCAGGCGATGAACACTCGAGCACATGAAAATTGGTATCTAAAAGCGTAAGTAGAAGTAGATAATGTTGGTTGTTGTCTCTGTTACTGTGTGGGAAGAGTCAAGCATAGTAGAGGGTGGTGGGTCAGTGATAAACGGCTAAACCCATTGTCCCTTATCTTCGCACGATAGCCAACTGTTTGTGACGGTATGTTGTTGACAAGCTGTAGGCGTCTTGACCACGAATGTTTGTTTACGGCATTAAGCTTTTGCGCTAGGTCCCTTTTATCTTCCTTTTATTATCTTTCCTTCCGTAAGTAATTGTGATTGTACGGCAGCGAATCATTAGTTCAAATGGCCGTACTGCTGTTGATGATGATGACGACGACGACTGTCACTTCACCAAAGTCAGGCAGCGGAGCCCATGTATCGAACTAAACGTATGGGCCACAAAGTATTACTGATCATGGCAAAATACTAATGGCAGCCAGTGGGTTACCGAATCCCAAAACGGAGGATAAGATAGCTAGTTTTCTGTGATATCCAGCATTGACAGGTAAGATGAAACCCGAAGCACTCGGTCAGCAAAAACTGACATGGTTTAGTGCATTATGAGGAATATCGTCCTAATTTAAAGGGAATTTTCATGATCCTACAAACAATACAATTCAGTGCAATGGCGATGAATGGAGATAAAGCTGCAAACAATCCTACGTGAGAGATCACCTGACGATGGTGATTTTGAGTGGGTTAGCCACTCATTAGCGGAACGCTTATTCCGCGCGCTCTAGGGAGTAGGCCGGAACACAGACACCCACCCATGTAGTTCAATTTTCAACAACTGCACGTCTTGTCAATTGGGGCTGGCTTGCCGAACAACCTCCTCATGGTGTCAGCTGGGTGGTTCGGGATTTTCCCGTTCCAGCAAATGGTTCGGCGGCAGTGTTCCGGGACGTGGTGGGTTTTCGTCTGGCAAGCGTTCTCCCTATATAAAGCCACATATGTCCGTTTAACAACACTGTGACGTGGCGGACGTGACTCGCCACTAAATATAGTCACTGACCCTTGCTTCATCCGAGCGAAGCATTGTATTCCAGCAACTTTATGCTGTAACTCTGGGGAGCATTGGGCCCTGCTTGACAAAGGAACAAACGAAAGGCGTATGAACTGAGCAATCAGTCACCGGCTCCAAATGGGCGCGATTCCCTGAATTCGCTCCGCTGCCTTGCGGGCAGGCTATTCAGCAAAAGGCTCGGGGTGCTGTCACCTAAGTCAACACCCTACTTCGGCTTGCGCAACCAGTTAGTATCTCGACCTCTGACGAAACCATGGACTTTGATGTGTTGTGTTGGGTTTTCCTTTAATATTTCTGTACCTTATATTGTGTTCCATGGTTTCTGATGGCTCTATGTCCGTTGCATATATATATATATATATATATATATATATATATATATATATATATATATATATATATATATATATATATATATATATATATATACTTGTCAATTGGGCAGTGTGTGAGGAAGGAAGAAGCAGTCTCACATACCGTTCAATCACCACACCCAGTGTGAGCAGCCACAATCGCCCAAAATAGATCGCACAGGGATAATAGCGATTGATTACGTCACACCGTGTACCAACTAACAAACGGCTTTAGAACCATTTTAAAGGGCAGGCCAACGGTAAAAAGTCGGACAAACGCAATCTCAAAATGAGTGATTTGCTAGATTCGAAAGAGGTCAATGGATGGATCACTAACTTCAAAATATAGTCAGGCTGTGACAGAGCACAATAGACATGGGTTGTCACCAACAAAAGGCACAGAAAGCACATCAGCCACAAACTAAGCCGATCTAGGAAAAAACAGGCGCAAAGCACTTAACCATCTGTTGCGGTCCACCGATACGATTGTAGAAACAAGTCTATTTTGAGCCGTACCATAGTATGGATTGAAAAACTCATACCAAATTGAGACTGCAGTGAATTCAGCTGCGGGTTTGACCATTGCGTCAACAGACATCGGTGGAACCCCTGCGCCAATTCATACACTGCTTTGGTACTCAAACGACTGAGCCAAAGACAAGAGATTAATACTAAAAACAAACAAGATTTTTTTCTCGAAATGAGGAGTCATGGAGCAGCGAGTGCCCACAAGACCCCGTCAACGATGTCCTTAATCCCCTTCAGTTTTCCACTCCATAAAGGCCTCATTTCACAGTTTCAGCAGTCACACGCTAAAAGGGAAAGTAAAGTATCTTTTCTAACTCAAGGTGGTAATTCAGAATGACATCCAACAACGCCGGCGACGAATCAAATGGACAAAAAGTGAACGCCCACGAACCAACCGCTGCGAAAAGATGTCTGCTGTCTTGACATGGCACACAAACAAGAGTAGCGACACAACCCAATGTAGTTGCTGTGCTCAAGCTGAAGTGGTGACGCTCACGTACCTCGCATCTCTTGTGATTCCGAAACAATGGCATGGGAAATGCGTCAGATGTAAGCGCGCAGAGAGCGGAAAGCCCGAATGAATCGTGTTGAGCAGCCATTTAGATAGGTGAATCTAATACCGCACAGAATCTGGGCATATAAGAAACAGCTGATAGAAAGATGCCCGCTTATCACTTCGGCACATATCTGAATCACGACTGCCGCCGAATGGAGGAAAGCGGAAATGAATTCATTGAGAGACATTCGTCTATCCGTACTATGGCCAAAAGCGCGCAGACATGGTGATTCGAAATGGCAAAATAACCGTAAAATGAAGTCACGTGGAAGAATCAAGAAACTGCATAGGCATATTTGGAGATTCCACCCGATACGCTAACGATGGTGAGCTGCGTGCTATCCACAGCCCCTACATGAGTAGTACGGGTTTCAAACATCCAATGCCCACCAAACGATATGCAGTCGTGGACCCGAACGGACCACATCATTTCTTTCTCTTACTCTCCCCATTGTCGAAAGGCTACCGCGTGGTTTTGGTAGATACGGCCCAACTCTTATCTCCACCTTCGTTTCTTGCTTTCGCCTTCGATTTCTATTGCTATTGATCTACAAGGCATAAGCAGTACGCCGGTAGGCAGTACCGACGCTGCTCTGCCGCGAAACCGCCACCAGTCGCAAATGAGTTAAGGATACCGCGAGGGTCGCCCGGTCCCTAAGAAGGATCGAACTCGCGCCATCAAATAACAAAGCAGGCTTGTGATCCTTAAGGCTACGGGGCGACACTACTAACTTAGGTCAACCAACCACACTGTGAAAGTGAAAAGCATCGACAGCTGTGTAGATTCAATGACTAAGTACACCTCAACAACTACAAATCTATCCTTCGCTACAACTTGGTTTTTTCTACATTAACAAAGAATTTTCCACAGCCATGATTAATTTACTAAAGTTTTTACCTTAAGAGCAAAACCCCAGCTAGATTCAAAACGACCGAAACCATAACTGTCTTCTTCGCAGTCGCCTGAGTGAAGTCCCTCGGTTGTGTTGTAAGCGTTCGTTTCGATCTGATGCAATGCATTGCGTCGTTTTTATCGTCTGATTGTGATAGTCTATTTATTGAAGTCCACAAAAAGCGATTAATTCATGTCTTCTGCAACCCAGTATCACATGTACGCGCAATCTGCTGTGAAAACATTTCAGTATTGCAACTATATTTTGACAACGCTGGTCCACCTATTCCCAAGGTCAGTGAGATCGGAAAGGTTGGCACGATTCGAAATGTGTTTTCACAGGCCACGAAATGTTAGGCCAAATGAAGGAGTGTTTTTTGTAAAACACTATCCTGTCGATTGGATACAAGTGATGAGAATTCTGTTTCGCAATGCGCGGACGCTGCTCAGGAAAGCGGAGTCGTCTAAGCGAATAATAACAGTGCACTATTTTGCATTTTTATGCATTCATAAAAATTTGCATTTTTGAGTAGGTCAGCGTTGTCTATTTGCAGTCGTAAAACACATCCGGGCACATTAGGCTTGTGTTGAACTGGCTTGCTTTTGTGCGATTTTTGTGCCAAAACAAATAGCAATGAGAATCATGGACGTACTTTCTTGGGTTTATGCGCATTGTACGTTTTATTCTAGCATGCATCCTCCAAACTACTAGTTTAATTTTAATGAAATAACTTGCTTTTAAAACTGATTTTCTTTCCTGTCCGGAGGTTTCAGCGTACAATCGGTGGAGTGATTTTTAAGTCCAATCAATATCGATTTCTATAACTCTGGGTTGTCCCCAACGGTGGAGCCATCTAAGAAACGCCTCGAAACATACTGTCTTGTGAACAAGTGGAACAAAAACCGTTTAGAGCGATTCATTGATACAATTCGATCGGAGCACCCATCTGGAAAGTGTTTGGCACTGTTGAGAAATAAACTAGTTTGTTGATTTTCAGAATTTGCTGCACCGGTGATGTATCTTAGATTGCGACACGCAGTCTCAAGTGTGGCTTCAGTTGACTTTGAAGCCAGCCTCTGCCAATACACTCGTTGGGACCGTCACCGAACTTTGTATTTACTCATCAATGCTGACTACACATGGTGCAAAGCAACGTGATAATAAAGGCTCGTACCATTAACGTGTGACTAATTACTGCCAAGGATTGGATCGCGATGGAGCACGAATCTATGCGGTTGCTCAATCGCCACTTAAGCCCGCAATCCTCGAGGGAGTGATAGTATTCCCAACTACAGAGTCGGTATTAAGGATGAATGAGGAACGCGAACGGAATGCCGACTGGAATTACTTCATCTGAGCCAGTTCCTTTTAAAGTGCGAGTAGACCACTGAATTGTGTGCTAATCTGACTGAAGGGAGAAAGTCAGTCAATCTGTGAATCGGTTTCAAAATGACTGTGACTATGAGCTTTCATGAGTGTATCGGCAGATGAAGAGAACCCGTACGATGAAGAGGGCCGGTGAGATTGGGGAGAAGCGGAGTACTGATTTAAGTTACTTGAAGTAGGGGAACCGGATAAACTCTGTGTGGCGAAAAGTTGGTAGGAAAGACTATGCACCGTTAATCTGGTCTAAGTGACTGAGAAACTCAGGCAGACTATAAGTCATTGTCTACGGAGACGCTTGAAACCATCGGTACATTTGGGACGAGGCCTAGCATTATTACGGAGATCCGACAGCAGCTGGTGCCAACAATGCAAGGAAGGACAACCGATCGCGACGGTCGTATTCATCTTCTCTGAAAAACGATGGCAACGAAGTAAGCGTTCATCTAGTCGCTCTGTTGACACTTATATGGCGGAAAGAACAAGCCAAAGATCTTGGAGGGACGGTAAATTCCGGTGCCTGTTGTACAACTGTTCGTTTTAATGCATACTTCATCATGCTGCGTTTGTTTATTGTTTTAACACATTTGTAATTAAGTGTCGCTGTTCTTGAAAGTGAAACAAATGTTTTTCTGACGTCGACACCGCAGTCGATTGGCTCTTGGTTTAATCACTTCTCATTGGACTGCACAGTTGAATGTTTCTGTGCTCCGGTTGCGATTCGCAGTCGTGTCACTATAGTTTCCATAATTAACCAGTCCAGCATTCCAACAGAGAGATTCTTCATATTTCTGTTCGTCCTATTGTTCTCACCGCTGAGGTAGGTAGGAGCAGTTCGCGGAGTCGACACAAGAAGTCAAAGAAGTCAAGAAGTCAAAGAAAACTCTTGCTAATAACCCCAGAGGTACTGGTGCCATAGGCAACGTAGCTGAGTTAACCGCTACATCGTGCACAGAGAGCTCCATGGTCTTACGTAACATGAAAACGGTAAGGGCTACGAAATTTATCTCGAAAATGAGATGTTCATCCCACGTCTAAGCCTAGTTGAATGTGTGAGCAAAGTAATGCGCCCAAGTAGCTCTTCCTGTAAGTAGTTCTTGAAATGAGGACCGCTTTTGCCTCAACTAATTGGTGCAACCGAAAGGTGCGCAGTAGAGAGATTTTCACAAATGTGTATGCTGGGTTCCGAATTGGTGTACAAAAAATAACTTATCCCCAGAGTTCAGCATGACAAACGAAGCCAAGCAGAGTTGTCCTACATCCGTGTTAATCTCTATCATCGAAATATCCGTTAATGTGTTCGATTCGAAAGGGTGCAAGAACGATGGAAGGAGAAAATGGGGCAGAAATCAAGATCCAGGCAAAAACCTTTGAACAGGTTGACCAAAGTGATAGAGGCATGACTTGGTCGTTAAGCTCGCAGTTCTTGCTATTACCGAGTTTACGGCAAACTTTCGCATCCATTCAATATCTTCAGCGATGTGAGACAGGATTGCCCGCTGTTACCTTTCTCCTTTAACTTGGCCATTGATGAAGCCATGGAAACAGCGTTCGCTGGACACGATTCACAAAGGGCGGAGCTGTATCCAAGTGATCGATTTTCTCACTTGGAGTATGCTGACGACATTGCGCTTGTCTTTGACAGATCCCGAACGCGGCAAGTTGCACTAGATGAATTAGCTCTGGCTGCCAGTCATTTCGGGCTCTGATTTGCACCTATGAAATGCGAAGTCCCTCTTCAAGATTGACAGGGACCCACTCCTACGTCGACCCTTGGTGGTGATCAGTTATAAGTCGTTGAGAAATTCAAGCACTTAGCAGTTGTATTAAAGCCGGTGGAATAGAAGATGAGACCACAAACCACAAACCGTAAAGCAAAAGTCTGAGGTGCTTTTTCGAATCTCCGCCACCTGTGGTATCGGCGCGACATCTCTCTTGCCCTGAACGACAGAGTTTACAACGAAGCCGTGTGTTCAACCCTCCTGTACGGTTGCGAATCCTGGTCCATCATATCGACAGACCTAAAACGGCTTGTTACTTTCGACCATCAATGTCTTCGCAGTTTGATTCATGTCTGAAGGGAACACCACGTGAGTAATCAGCGAGTTCGGCGTCGCGTATCTGGTGCGACTGAACCGCTCAGTACCGCTGTATCACGCACCAGGCTCCGATTGCTAGGCCACGTGGTACGCATGCCAGCACACCGACTACTGCGACGTGCATTGTTTGAGGGACCAGGGTCTGCATGGAAGAAGAGGAGGAGAGGTCAACTGATGGCTTGGTTAAGAGGAATGAAAGCCACCATTTCGAAGTTGGCGTCGCTTGGTGTTTCCTGACTGCTTGGCTAGGATCCGAAGAATGACGAACACGTCTGCTTGTATTCACTTGTTGGCATGGCGAAGAGCCGACCAAAATGATCTTTAGGATCTGAGTTTCTTTGTCCCTCCTCTTCCTTTTAGCCTCCATCACCAACAACGATCACAAGTCCAATGCATAATGCGAGTAACATTTTGCCACCTTTTTATCTTTGTAATGTTGTACCTCTTATCCTTTTTGTATAGCGGCACATTATCTGAGGTGTGTATTTTACCCTCGGCTAAGATGTATTGAGGATGCTGATGATGATGATGATGAATGATCGCCGGACAGCCACTCGAAGTTGTGCCGCCGGTACATACAGTCAAGTAGCTATATCACGCCGGTTTTAAGATCACAGGGTAGTGAGCGCAGTGGCGTGAACAGTATTCGATTTCAAAATCTTAGTAACCGGTGCAGCCAGTGGGGCATCGGTCACAGGAATGCGACGCATCTGTGTGGCCTCGTTCCTACGTCGTGGGACCGGTAAGGTATCAGTTCTGACGTCAGCCAGTGTCTGCTTACGGACAAACCTACTGGTCTAGCACAGGACAATCAGGGAAACTCGAGACGTCTTCGCTGATTAGGTAACCATCTTCGAACACCAGTAGAAAGGACTCTTCTTGGCTCGTCACTGCTGGACATATGTACATAGGTAAATTGAAGTACCCACGGATAAGTCGAGTTTTAATGTATCTGTACAATGGGGAGCGTGGAAATGGGGCGAACAAGTGAACTCACTTCTTGGTGACATCTGATTGCTTCATGAAAATTTCCCAACAAGTAATGTGTGTTGCCTAGGTTGCCGTAGACACGACCTTCGGCGGGACGATCCCCCATCTGATGTACTAAAGCCAAATTCTGCCTGTAACAAACAAGAGGCGGAGACAGATAGCCATGACAAAGCAGACAAAAACAGGGAGGAATGCAAGCAAAGGAGCAGACACGGTGATAAGCAAATAGACAGAAAATCCGACACGATCGACCCCTAATGAAAACGATCGTGCTGGTGGTCGAAGGAGCAAGATGTATTCGTGTAATCTAAGAGTTCACTGGTTCGAAGTGCGGGTGATCTTTCGGTCGGTAGTCACGTGGCGGTGGAACATCAGTACTGGCGTACCGCAGTTGTCTTGGATTCTTTAATGAAAACGTGGAACTGAATGCAAAAATCATTCTGCCTTGGAGGCCGCATCCCGATGAAGAAGGAAGGGCCGAGTTCAAAACCATCATCAACAAAGAAATTCAGAGCTACTCCTACAAGGTTGGTCAATGGTGAGAGGTCAGACAAACTCAGTCTCCTGGTCTTACAGGTTGGGGGTTTGAAATGGGATGGCGTCCATTTCTGTAAAACTAAATCATCGCCACTTCCCCACTGCCTTGCGGACAGGCTTTTGAGCCAAAGGCTTTGGATGAGGACCCTAATCGTTCTCCTGTCTAGGTCTGGGCGCCCTGACAATATCTCAGCCCACATACAACCATGATATTTTCTTCAAACATAAACTTCATCCTTCATCGACCGTCGCGCAGATTATCAAGGGTCGCCTTATCTGCTGCATACAACAGGGCGGATAAGTGAAAACATGCTACTGCTGGCGCATCCCTTCTTTATTTCCCACCTGTTTCCCTTACTCCCATCCCGGCCCCCATTACTAACCTTCCTTCTATAATTCACAGCTTAACTGACAGCAATCGAAGTGCAACTGGAGTAGAACCACTGAAGACACGATCCCAACGCACCTATCGGACGCCTATCGATAAATGTCCCTTATAAGGACACGCTGTCCCGTTTCCATAGCGACATTCAACGTTAGCACTCTAAGACAAAGAGGTCAACAGGCTGCACTCGCACGCACCTTGGACACGCTGGGTATTGATGTGTGTCGTGTGTCCGAAACTAGGATCAATGACCCCAACGGGGTTATTGAATTAAGTGCACCCGGCTTATCCTCTCGTTATTGGTTGCACGCATCCGAAGACGCCGATGCGGCACTCACGGGTCAAGCTGGTGTAGGTATCATTCTAAGCTCCAACGCTGTGCCACCGTTGGTTGATTGCATTCCGGTGAACAGCCGTTTATGTGTAGCCCGTTTGACGACATCAGCTAAGATGAATTTACGAAGTAGTACAAAACGCTGTTTGCTTGTGATTTCCGCTTATGCTCCCACCGACTGCAGTTCAGATGTTGTCAAGGAGACATTCTATCACGAACTGAATGCGCTACTACGCAGTGCTACTAGTTCAGATATTATAGTACTTGCAGGGGATATGAACGCACAAGTAGGGCGTCTGAGCTCTTCAGAAGCTCAGTGGGTGGTAAGTGTGGGCTTAACTCCGAACAAACGGACAACCGTGAGCATCTGCAGCAACTGTGTGCGGAGCACCAGTTGTTTCTTAGTAGCACTGCCTTTAGACACAGTGGGCGCCGAAGTGCCACTTGGCGTCCTCCTGTAGCTGACCAGCGATGGACCCAAATTGATCACATTGCCATAAGTTACAGATGGCGCGGTTCCATTCTGGATTGCCGCTCGTACTGGAGTACCTATGTCGACTCTAATCATGCCTTGGTACGTTGCCGTTTCTCCTAGAACTTTACCGGAAGGCACACCAAGCGTCCCCTACGATTGGCAACTGAGAAATTGTCGCAGCCTCGGTCAGACAAGCCTATCAAGACGCATTGCATATTGAACTTCCGCTGTCTTGTCCTAATGACACTGAGGTTCATTGGAATAGGATCTCGGCCACAATGCACGACGCAGGAGCACATGCTTGTGGCCATATCCATCGTCACCGCACCAGTCACTGGATATCCGAGAGGTAGGTGAACCTGTTGGAATCTAGAAGACACCTCCCGGCTGGTTTTGAACACAATGTGATCTGACGGGCTACTAGGCGTGAACTAAAGCAGAGCCTGCGTGCTGACAAGGAAGCATGGTAGACCAGTAGGTCTAAAGAAATGGAGAAGGCAGGAGCAGCAGGCAATTACCACAAGCTCTTCCAGCTAATCCGCACCACTGGTCCCAGTTAACCAGGCGTCAGTGAGACAATCAAAGACAGCGCGAGCGCGCTGATACACAATAAGGAACGCCGTATGGCTCGTTGGGCGGAACACTTTCAAGATCAGTTCAGCTGGCCCCTTGCTCCCGGATCTCTTCCTACTCAGGTGATGCAGGATGAACCACGGACGGTTAGTTTAGAGCCTCCGTCGGAGGCCGAGGTCCGAAACGCGATCACAGCCCTCAATCGTTTTCGTAACGTTGCTGGTGTCGGATGGCACCAGTGTGTCCGTAACGATGATGTGCGTGGGCGAGTACTAGGTAGTGATAATCATGCTAGCACCCTAGAACAACAGATAGCACTGAATAAGTTGCGTTGGCTCGGGCACGTGCTACGCATGCCTGGTCACCGCTTACCTAGGAGGGCCTTGTTCAGTCTGCCAGATGTAGGGTGACGCAAAGCTCGAGGTGGACAGAAGTTGACTTGGCAACGGGAAATGAAGTCGCTGACGACCAAACTGGGTGCCGTTGGTCCGTCTCGCCTTTCGGGCTAGAGTAAACGTGACTCGCCTTGTGCGTGGCTCAAGACTTTACAGGACATGGCTCGCAGTAGACACCAGTGGCGCGTCTGCTGCCGTCTCCTAATCGGATTGCCTGTTTAAAGTGTGTTTGGTGCTAAGTTATCTGCGGGGTTATGGCTGATTATGACGCGTGGCAGTGAAAGCCGCAAGGAAGCTGTCTCGTCGATGCCGCCTTATCTTTGCACGACAGCCAGCTGTTTGTGACGGTATGTTGTTAACACAAGGTGTAGGCGCCTTGACCCTTAATGTTTGCTTAGGGCATTAAGGTTTTCAGGTATGTCCCCCTTCTCTCCCTTTGATTCTTTAGTTAATAGGTCCTCATGATTGGATGGCACGCAGATGTCTTATACAAAATGACGCTCAGACGTAAGATGCAGGATCATTCGTGAATCGAAAGCAATCCGCCAGGCTGAGAACGACCGTATTGTGCATCGTATTGGGATAAGTTGTCTTATCGAAAATACTTGGACAGCCATTATGGTGGCCGAAATAGGTTGTGTGCCTATCAACCGTCGCAGCAGAACAGACGTATCCACTACCAAGCTACCAGCGAATGCATCCCCAAACCCAAAGTGGAACAGGCAGAGGTAGTTAAAACTATAATGGAGAAGTGGATGCGTAAATGTAATTCATTTTGCCGTTGTTCCATACGCATAAACTGGATTCATCGAACCTGTGTAGAAGAATGCGGCTAACCAGATATTACACTAGTTGGTCAACTGTGATAGTAAATTACGAAAAAGCATAGTTTTTCGTCTCGCTTCTACTCCTCAAATTTGTACCTCAGTGGGCCAAAGAAGTGACATCTCGAGAAGAGAAAACAAGCATTTGTATAGGAGAAATATGGTGAGTAATTGCGTGAAGCCAGTGATATGAAAGCCTCTTTGTAGAGTTATGACACAGAACATGGGAATAAACGATGGCGTTACGTCAGAGGAACAAGTTACTGCTCTAAGATGTGCCGTAAGCACTGCTTCGATCAAGTGCACGATTTCACGTCAGATATAAAGCACACAAGCGCATCAGCAAGCGTAGAACACTCACGAGTAGAATTCCAGCGCAGTCCGCTGGGCTTCCACAGCCTCGGCTGGCAATTCCCCGGGATCCGATTGACCGAATCCAAAATTGCTGTTCCTGGCTAATTGCTTACCCTTGGCGTGATACACATTTCCAAGATTGTATAAGGCGCGGACTTCGATTGACTGTGTGAAGAGGAGGGAAGAAAAAGTGGGGTTGGAGGCGGAAAACCACAAAGACCACATGCTACCTGGAAATGATGTTAAGCAGAAGTAGCCAAGGTTTTTGTTGCGGCGGAGCAAAACACGAAGGACACGGTTGTCTTGGTATCCACATAGTTCGCATATGTAATTCCGGCTGTCTTTATTTTAAAGGGCAGGATAACTGGCAAACCGGTCGTCTATGTTATGCTTTATTCTGATTAGCAGGAGATAAACCATGTGATGAAGGTCACCTAATGTATCCTTAGATATACAGTACAGACCAATGAAGCAAGTTAAAGAGCTGGATGATTGTTATACTTCTAACACACTTGGAAAAAGAACCGCTGAAATTTCAACTGGCAATACCATGCGGTCGACTACAGCTGGTGGTGGAAATGTTTCAGATAGCAAGGAGAAACATGATTGGGGAGTTCGATGATATTGTACATTAATATGCGATTTACATGTAGATGTAGACACCTGGAGCTTTCAGTCTATGCTCGAGTATCAGGGATGGGACGAATGCAAACTGTCCCCAGATGCCAATGGTGCTGGATCAAAGGTGCAGCGAGACGCCGCTTCTATCAGCATAGACAAGCCTGGATGGCGCACTCCGCATGGTGCTTCATGCAAAAACTAATTTGATGGTTTCTGGTTTCCGACGCCTCCAGGGGGCTTCGAGCAGCCCAGGAGAACCTAGGTAACTTACGACAGCACGTGATCACTAAACACGTCAAAACGTAGTTGATTCCTCGCTGGCCGTCTATACCACTAGCCATATGTCGTTGCAGTGAAACGTGATCTTACTGGATAGTAAACGCTCAGATTATCAGTGAAGGGAAAATATTTGAAATGACAAGATACGTACACTAGGAATAGGTGCGGACTCGTAACAACTGTGTGGAACACCATTTACAACCGAAGGCAAACCGAATATTGAGCACCGGACTAGCACATGCGGTCTCCGAAGAAAAATGAAGCTGTCAAGCTATTCAAGGACCGGCTGTACCCTACAGCACAGTTCTGAAGTTTGTGGAGAATGATGCGATGAACTAGGCGATCAAATGCCATGGATGCATTTTTAAAGAATACCATAGTTGGTAATTGTAGGTGCCAAGCAAATTAGAAAGCATAGTTAAATGATCGTCCAATCATATCGATCACGACTTCTTCATTAATAAATATCAGAAATGGTGATGACGGCTTGCCGACCAATCTGAGAGTAATGGGAGAACCGAAGCGGTTTCATGGTGGAACGTCTGTCATTAGCTCCCAGCAGGTAGGTTTTGAACTGTTCTTATCGGAGAATGCTACATCTTTCATACTGAAGCTACCTGAGACCAGTATAGGGCTACAAGCTGGTCGCAAGTTCATTCGCAAGACAAATGCCGAAGTGGAGAAATACATTTTCGGGGTAGGCATTAGAGGGAGCGACAAACGATAGCTATGAGGCACAAATCGTTGGGTCCTCATCCGAGGCGGCAACAGAGTGAGTCAATGATCCGTGTCTGTGGCTCCTCCACTTATTCAAACTGCAGGTCGCTAAACAAACGTAGAATCACCCAACTTCTTTACTGGAGTAAGCGGTAAGCACAGTTATCCATAACTTCTGACAGCAACATATATCAAGTATGGAAACAAAGTTAAAAGCGTTCCTTCTTTGACGAGGACGAAATTTAGCACAGTTAGTTATTGAGGATGCCTTGTGTGCTAGTGTACACACAAGGAAGTTCTGAAACCGCCGCAGTGAATGGGGGCGAGGTGAGGTAAACCCATCATCATCATCTTCATCTTCATCATCTTCATCTCCATCTCCATCATCATCATCTTCATCATCATCACCACCACCATCATCATCCTTCTCCTCCTCTGCTTCCTCATCATCATCATCCATCATCATCATCATCATCGTTATACACGTCAGCTAGAGGTGGGAGACACCTCAGCTACTTTGTCGCAATACATAAAGAAAAAGGAAAATAAATACAACAGTTCCATGCCAGCTTGCGGCACAGTATCTGAGGTGTTTCCCACCTATGGCTGATGTGTATAATGATGATGATGCATGCCAGCTGAGCTACCAGCAACGGATACGCATCGTTCCGTTAAGATACAAGCCGCCTACAAGGCAAAAGGAAAAATTATTATGTTTTACCCTACGAAACGAGATCGTAGATGGAGGGGGAGGCTAAAAGGATGGGGAGGGACAAAGAAACTCACAGCAGGAACACCACTGAGATCGGTTCCTTGCCATGTCACCAAGTGTATCTAGCCAAACGTGTTCACCGTCTTTTGGACCCCAACCAGGGAGCCGTGACGCTCCAACCGAGGCTAGCTCCGAAGTGAGGGACTTCATTCCTCTGGACCAAGTCAACGCTTGGCTACCTCTCCACTTCTTTCATCCACACCCCTGGTGAGCAAACAGCACACGTCGCGGAAGTCCGCGTGCTGGCATGCGCAACACGTGGCCCAGCCATCGGAGACTGGTGCGTGAAATAACGGTGCTGAGCGGTTCAGTTCCTTATTCTGTGCCGTAAACAAGGCGTCGAGCACGCTCGTTACTCACGCGGTGTCCGCACCAGATGTAAGCTAAATTGCGAAGACGCCGGTGGTCGAACTTAACTAGCCTCTTCAGGTCCGCTTATCTAAGGGACCAGGTTTCACAACCGTACAGTAGGGTCGAATGTATCGCTACATTGTACACTCTACTCTTAGGGCGAGAGTGATGTCGCACCGGCATCAGAAGTGGTGAAGGTTAGTAGAAGTACTTCGAGCTTTTGACATACGGTTCGTGATCTTGTCTTCGATCCCTATGGCGCTGATACAACTTCCCACGTAGTTGAATTTCTGAAATTCTTCTACCTGATCCCCACCAAGGGTCAGCGCAGGAGGCGATCCCTGCCAATCTCGGAGAAAAGTTTTGCACTTCAAGGGTGCAAAGCAAAGCCGGAAGCGGCTGACGGCCAGTGCTAATCTGTCCAGCGCAGCTTGGCACGCCTGGGAGCTGTCACAGATGAGGGCAATGTCGTCTGCATACTCCAAGTCAAGAAGTCGTTCTCCTGGAAGTAGCTCCACACCTTCGAAGTCATGTCCTGTAAATGCGATCTCCATGACCGTCAACAGCGAAGTTGAAGAGGAAAGGTGACAACGGGCATCTTCGCCTCATACCGCTGGAGATATTGAAGGGTGGCGACAGCTTGTCGTAAGCCCTCACTCTGCCCGTGCTACGCAAGTATAATGCTCGGAGACGGCCACTAATAGTTGGCTTGATCAAACATTGACTGTCTTTGATTCCGTTTCAGGGACATGGTGTGTAGATCTTCGGGTCACCCTTTATGTACTGCGTATTGAGTGCGACCACAACCTTCAGGAGCAGGTCTTTTGATTCTCTTCGACGACTCCAGTGCGTGACCCGAATAGATTCTCCGATGCATTCGTGTGCTTGTAGGATGTTTTGTTTCGGGAGCGTATCTCTCAGTGACTTGAATCTGGGCTCAGAAAGCTAGTCAGCTGCAAAGCGCATGCCAGCTTTCTGGTAGCCCAATTGTCAGGACTGAATTGCATCGTTGGTAACTTGATGAACTATGTAGACTTGAGAATGAATACGCTATAAGGTTGCTAAAGAACAGAATCACACTGCGCTTGAGCCTCAGAGATACCGTGTACAAAGGTCGTTTTGACTACAGTTTGCCTTCTGTAGCCAACAAAGTTCGCTCCACGGAACATCCGGAAAGAATCTGACCGAATAGGGTGTATTCATGAGCAAAGGAAGTTTATCCTAAATCCCGAAGGTCCTCGGAGTGATATATAGACAGCTCGAATTACAGACCACTTGTTCCGTGTGTTTGGAATTGTATGTGAGTATAGATCATGGTTTATGTTGTTTGGCTGGGGGTTCAGCAAGGGAATTTGTGAAATGGGGAATGGATTTTAACCGGAATACTATAGACTGAAAGGTTCTTAAGGTATGACTTCAAGATCAAATCTGACGGACAAGGTTACTCATTTCCAGCAAATCGACGGACGATTAGCGGCCTTCGCTGATTCTCTTAAGACCGTGTTAACAAAATTCTTTCTTGTTGGATGTTTCTGTGCGTTAGAATTACTTCACGGAAATTACGATGCTATACAGCTTGATTTCTGATTCTGAATTTTGGAACCATAAATACTTACGTTGTATCCGTTTAATTTCGGAGAGCTATCAATCGCTTCGTGAACCACATTTAGTCGAACATCTACTTCTAGGAGCATTCGCAATGCCGAAACAATCAAGATTGTCGGAAATCGAGCAAATTCAATCGCGTGTGTTGTGTGGCACGTTAAATTCCATCTCTCATGCATTGGACTATCGATGAGGCACTTCCGGCGTTCCGTGAAATGCCACAGGATTTCGTTCAAATTCAGTGTACGAATTGCAGATACGTGATACCGCAAAAGAAAGTAGAAAAGAATCACAATGCGCCATGTATGCTGAGTTATTCCGCTACGAGTAGCTCCGTGGGTTTGGCCAAACAACCTAGCTGGAATCGGCTCCAGGTTTTAGGTAAGCTTTCGTGCTCGTCCCGTGCAAACCCAGCAGCACAAAGTCCCGCGGTTGCGGATAGCCAAGTTTCGCCTGGCACGTAACTTTTACCTACGAGCACAGAGATCCCGATGTGTGAAAGTCTGTGTACGGAAGAAACATGGAAAGTACAAGGAAAAAGAAAGAGGAAAATCAATGGTAGGACACTGGCGCGCTGTACCGACGTTTCGTTGCCATGCGCGTAGGCTCAGTATACCGCGAGGACACTCGCCCCTAAGCGGATTCGAGCCGGTGACCTAAGGGTTGCAAGCCAGGCGTGCAAGCCTTTCGATCACCGGCAGAAGAATAAAAGAACGTTAGCTTCTGTAAATCAACGACATACCAAGCCACGTGAAGCTAAGAAAAATCCTCACTCTGCGGGATCAATCTTGCCAGAGCAGATAAGTTATAATTTGAGATT